GGAAATTATACTAAGTTCCTGATCCAAGTGGGGCAAGTATCTTCAGAGGCCTTTTTGATGACCAGGATAGTAGAAGATGATTGGCATTGCAATTCAAACCAGGATACAGTTTGGTCATTTTAAATTCTGGATCTAATTATTCTAGGACCTCTCCTCCCCTTTAGATTTTAATATGTATTACTCATCCTGTTGCATCCCTGGACCCTTCTACTCACTCTTTTGAAAGAAGAAATGTTATGGAGTCAGGATGTTCTTTTAGTGAGGTCCTGTCTGGCTATCACAAGAATTAGCTCATAAGCTACCTCAACCAAAGCAAGAACCAACACCTACTTTCACGTATCACACAATAAACCTTGGTTTTGTTTAACTGTGATTTATCAAACAAGCCATAGTAGTCTTCAGGCTGCTGTGGAAGACACAGACTTGGGGAATGCCTAAGGAGAAGTTCTCAGTCCATTTTCTACATGAATGAAAGCTTCCTTGGAATGATTCAGATGTCCCCTCTTGTCTTCCTGGCTATTCACATCCAGTGCAACCATTTATCATCATCTGAACTATCTGATCAGGGACTTGGATATAATGCAATTAGGATTATCATTTTAAAGGCCTTTAGATGAAATTTAAAGCCAGCCTTGCAGTAATTTGGCTGTCAAGGAATTGATTTTGATCCTTAGCACTCTCTCATCTTCAATAGAGTACTGCTCTAACCAGGTTAATTTCTGTTAAGCACATTAGTCAGGTGCTTCTTGCTCCCCTATCAAACGATTATATGTCTCTGGGCTTTGAACAATTATAACTAGGGTTGCCACTAGATGGGAGCAAAGACTTGGAGGTTTCTGTATCTCTCTACTGTTATCTAGTGGGGATCTAGTTTTTTGCATCCCCAGCCAGATAGCCCTAATCTTTGCACTATTGCACCAACCACACAGCATGAAACCCAACTACTGTAATCAAAATTAAAAGTCAGGGCATCTTTTACAAAGATATTGACCCAGCAAATACCAACAACTGTATTCCTATTCAGAATATTGCTGCCTTCTCAAAGTTTGAAAATACTATATGTTTTATTTTCCTTTTCCTTTTGTCTTTTAATCCAGTAGGTCCTAGATGAAGAGTCAAAGCCTGGGTTCACTGCATTATGCTAGGCATGGTTCTGTTTAACCCAAATGTATTGGTCAAGTCACAATGGCAGGGTTTACACATACAACATAGCTAAGACAAAATTCAAAACACAATCCTAAGGCGGTATTTCTCAACCTCAGCAACTTTAAGATACATGGACTTCAACTCCCAGAATTCTCCAGCCAGCATGCTGGGAGTTGAGGTCCACACATCTTAATGCTGCTGAGGTTGAGAAACATTGTCCTAAGGAATAGGAGGGATTTGGAATCAAGGATGCTGGGGGGGTTGGAAGCTATGACCACACAATTTTTTTACATGTGAGTACAAGACACATTAAAAAGGCCACCTTCAGTTGTAATCAAGGCCACCATCTTGACTCTTTGGACTCCTTCCCCTGCAGCTGCCCCTGAATGGGATCAGATTTAAGGCAAATGAATGTAACCCCTTACTTGGACATGAAATGGCCTGGTTTGGGTCTTCAAAACCCAAAACGTTGTAGGAATCTAGGAATTGTCATCCCACCATATCTGAAAGGCCCTGGCATGAGGAAGTTAGCCAAAGTTCAGATTCAGTGAGGTTAGCATGTAGACAAATGCAGCTCCTACATTTGTAAATGGCTTGTTTGAGCATACAATGCCCCTACAGCTAAAAGTTTGTTGTTTTTTTTAATCCTTAATTTACTCTCATTGTAATCATTCCCCCACTCTTTCTATTGATGGTTATAATTAGGCTGCTCCCATTTTGTCAGACTCATTGTCACAGATCACAGCTGGTGATAGGTGGAGCCAAAGATTCCCAGTAGGCAGAGCTAGGGTTCTCCCTGCAAACTGTCTTAAAGTACTTAAG